GGGCTTCCCCTCACCGTCGTATTCCACGCCCCATATCAAGTCGGCCGTTTGGTGGAGAGCGATAGAGAAGTTGAGAAGATGGGACAGTTCGATGGCGATGCGGTACTCGTATCCGTCCTGATGGAACATTCCGCTGGTTCCGATCTGGATGACCCAGGGATCGAATTCCAAGATGCCGATGCGATATGCCCGTCCTCGGAAATCCCGCACTCTATTGCGAAACAGAAACCTTCCCAGGTCCTCGACGTCGTCCACGGTGTCGAATTCCGAAAGAAGACGAAAACGACGTTGAGAGCAGAAGACACAGGGAGTGTATAACCGAATCGGCATCTGAGTCGCCCCGAATACGAAAACCCGGTTCCAGAGAAACTCGTCCAACCCTGCGATGAATCTCGAGTACACATCCTGCAAGCGCCCCGATCCCTGAACGAAGACGACAACGTAATCGGGAACGTATGATCCCTGTCGCAGAACGAGGCCCTCCGTCGCATTCACGCCATCGACCAGGCACTCGTCGGAAAGGACGAAAACGGTGCACAAAGCCCGACCTTCGTCGGCGGCCCACCGGAAGCCCACTTCCCACACCCGATAGGCTCCACGACCCTCACCGATCATCTGATACCCACGGACGTCCCCCGGACACAGCAGGAGAATCGGCTCGCACGTTCTTCCCAGTTCCTCTTCGAGCCTCGACAGGACGCGATCCCGAATGTCCCCCGCAGATGCGATGAGGATGCTCCACGCGACGACCACGGTCGTGAAAAGGGACATCTCCTAGTGCGATCCCACCTTTCTTCAGGAAGCAACAAGTAAAATATAAGAAAAAGGTTGAATGGATCACCAACTGAGCACTCTGAATAAGAGAAGCCCTTTCGAATATATTTTCTGAAGATTCATGAGTTCATTTGTATATTTTAAATTCCATGGATTGTTTACATTAAGTGGCAACGAAAGGTTGTTCCGTATACGCCAAACACTGCTTCAGCAATAATCTCTGAAGAGAAGAGTTTTTTTGTTATTTAGTAGCTGAGTTGAGGAAGTCGTCTGCCCAGGGTCTGGTGTCAACCGGTTATCGATTAAAGAAAAAAAAGACTCTTACATACATGAATCTTCTCGCATCCGGACTCGAGCAACCCCGTTTAATCATTGGGAATTTTTATCAGCACGTTGTGCGTGTCGTATTTTCCCCGTTGAGCATGAACTAGTTGAGATTCTCACCTCTCTTGATCAGCCGCAAACTGTCATCACGTCAGTAATGAAAGTTTGCGTGCATCACTTATTTTCCTTACCTTATGCAAATAAGCTCATAAATGTACACCAAGAAAAAAAAGGATTATTGGATAGTTTAACCGTAGCATAACATAAATTGGGACCAATCATACTTAATGGAAATCTTGTTCTATTTTGAATAATCCGAAAACAGGCGATCCTAGCACCACAAGCGGGAATAAACGTGGAGAGTCGCTGCTTTGCTCCACGCGCACAGCAAGATGAACAGAGATATCCTCCATTGTCCGTTGAATGGGATGCATATTCCAACCCTTACGAAAATGTCTTATAGGATTCCTATATATTCCTATAAGAATCCTATAGGAACCTAAAGGAATCCTATAGGAACTTAAAGGAATCCTATAGGTTCCTATATGCCCCACAGAGTTCAGTTCGGGACCTATAGAGTCCCCTATAGAACCTATAGAGCCCCCTATAGAACCAATAGGGTTCCTCATAAGGCCTATAGGTTCCCTATAGGACCCAAAGGGCTCTGTAAAGGACCCGTAGGGTTCCCTATAAAACCTGTAGGGTTCCCTATAGGACCTATAGGGGTCGCTATAGGACCTATAGGATTCTCTATAGGACCTATAGGGTTCCTATAGGGCCTATAGGGTTACCTATAAGACCTATAGGGTTCCATATAGGACCTATAGGACCTATAGGGATCCCTATAGGACTTATACGGAACCCTATAGGCCTGTAGGGTTCCGTTTGAAGTTCTCCTCTAGGCCACTAGATGGAAGTATTGGGTTCTCACATTTCTCAAAGGGCACAAAAGTGCCCTCCCCTTACCCAAGGAATCATCTCTCACAAGAGAGTTTAGTACGTCCCCAAATGTCTCGCCTTGCCTCATCGTAGCAATCAATAAACGTCAACAGTTCTTTCTTTGTCATCCCCATCTTCCAGATAGAATCATTGAGTCCCGTGAATAATTATGCCCTTATTCCTTTTGAAAACCACGTACGAAAATGA